TATGTACGTATGTTTGTATGTATGCACGTATGAACATATTTTGGTATGTTGTACGCACGCACGTTATATGTATGCATGCATGTGCATGTACATGTGCCTGTACATGTATTCTTGGTATACGTATGTGTAGATGTGTGCGCACGGGCCTGCCGCCACGACCTCCACTGCAGAGCAGCATGTGGAGTATATGAGGGCCGCAGCCGCCAACATTGGTGATCTGTAGGCTGCAAGGGGTCGTCGGGTCTTTACTTCGCCCTTGGGCATGTTTCCGCTTCCCAGGTCCGCCTAGAATTTGTTAATTTCACGCTCCAGCCCCGCCACAATAGGGATCAATAGGGCCTATGCCTTGCGAACTGTCAAGTCGGCTTCTGCCTTGTGCTGTAGAGCGAAGGCGAGTGGGGGGGTGTGGGAAAGCCCGTCACTCCCGCTCGCCCCCAGCTTGCCCGGGTCGGCGGGTACGCAAAGTCAGCCTTCCTACATGCATGCATACATGCATTCACATGGGTCTGCGAGCTTCGAGGTACTTTCGTATTTGAGTGTCGAACTCGACGAACTGGGTTTTTGAATCGAACAGGCTTGGAGAATGTAACGTTTTGTCAGATGAGTGTGGGGTGTGTCTGGGTCTTAGCTTCAGATTCGAGGAACGTTAAGCATACGCAGGCCCTGTGGTTTCAGGGTCGGTGTGTCCTGGAAGCCATGTGCGCCGATGTAGAAGGTAGCGCACAACACATTCCACCAGCAAGGACAAGCTCAACCTCCGAAAAACAAGAGTTCGAAAGACCGCAACGACTTGCCAAATCTCCACCCTGTTTCCTTTTGCTCCTTCTGATAGCAACCAAAGCGATTCCTTCAGGACCGCGCGTCTGCTGCAGTTGGTGCCGGAGCTTATGAGCCCTTGCTAAGCTTACATCGAAAACGTCCAAAACACTTCGAAACAAACGCATCAAAAAGAGTCATTAGAGCGCCTAAGACGAAGGAAGTCTGAGCCGACGACTCAGGGTACAGCCTGTTTCCATGTCAAGCCAGCCCGAGGATTGTGGTCAAGGGCATGGTGGCATGCCTGAGATCCGTCGTGGTGACCGCCTGCCTGTCCCATGCCTTGTATGGGAGGGGCTTGAGACCAAGAGCTTTCTTAACCGATTGTGAAGCCGCGCGAGTCTTCCGGCGAGCACGCAGACGTATGTGGCAGCCTCCACCACCAACCAAGGCTCTTCTGCACGCTCTATGTTTTCGGCGTAGTTCTCAAGCAGATGGCCGAGGACAGCGAAGGCCAATCCAGGGCTGTAGTCGTCCGTAACTCTAACTTCATCTTGACAGGATTGCATTCCAGCTCTGTGCTGCACTGTTTCAGGTGGCCGCAAGTACTTCTCCAGTGTCCCGCTCCTCAGCTCCATAGCCCGCCGAAGCGAGGTGTCGTTGAGCGGCCCAGGACGTTGATGGAACATGGTTCTTTAGCTGCTCCAAAAGATCGCCACGAATAAGGCAGAGAGCCCGACAGGTTCAATCATGTAGGTATCGGCACATGTATTGAGCTTCTAGATGCCTATGATGACGACGGTCATGACTGATGATGATGATGCTGATGATGGGCTATGATGTGATGATGCTCATGATGCTTATGGTACCGATGATGCTGACAATGCTCATAATGATTCTGGTAAGGTCGACGCCTCGCCCACATGGCCCGGCCCTGCCTTTCCTCTGGGATTGGCCTCCCCCAGCATGGTAAGCACACGTGTGCAAGTATACGAGATGCACATACGCAGAACACTCGCGCAGAACATAAGATGTGTGCGTGTCCGACAGAACGATCGAAAGAACGATGAACGAGTGCAGCATGACGTGTGATGGATTGAATGCAGAGGGAAGGCATGAATGAGCGAAAGATTGTTTCAACTAGTCTGTGATCGGTTGCTCTCATCTAGCTTGGTGCAGTCTAGCATGCTTTAGTCCCGGATTCCAGGCCTCTAATGCCGGAAGGTTTCAAGATCTCACGCTGCAAATTCCACTGCAGTCCACTCTGGATAAGGCAAGCCATGTACACCCTTCTCTTGCACAGCACTCTGCTGGATGCCCCCGCCATGGTTCTGAGCCCCTTGGCTGCATGTGGCCTCGAGCACAGTCTGAAAGAGCCGCTGTTGCAGGACCATTTTTGCAGGATGGACAGCCTATGGCCCCGAAGCATTTTTACGGGTCGGTTGGAGGCGAGACTGAACATTGAGAGTCTAGGTGAGCTCGCGGAGATCCCGGCAATCCTGCGACTTGGAAGCAAGGTGCTTGACCAAGGGCCTCATGTGCTGGTCTGGTGGTGCAACTCTAGGAGCGACAGGTGACCGTGAGGTCGATCACGCGAGACCGTTGCTTAAAGGCTGAGGTACAAGCAGGTCATCAGCAAGGCTTTAGGGGATGGCGTCACTGAGCTTGTTTTGGAGTGCTTGGGGGTCGATATGTCGCGCGACGATGGCTGTGAAGTTGGAGATTCTCAGGTTTATGCTCTGCATCTTCATTTCATCGTTGCTGCTGCTGAACATGCGACGAGATGTGGACAGCAAGCTTTTCCTTCTTAGGGCTTCTGCTGTTTGCATAGGCTTACCAACAGCACTGTTGGAGTACGAGTTTGAAGACAACTGAGGTTAGTCGGCATCATGTGTGAGGCCGTGAGACAGTGCCTCATCTAAACGTGTTACTGTAACAATTGATTTAAGGCTCTTGCGGGTTACCCACCAGGAAGTAGAGAGATTAGCATGGAAGCTGTGCACGTGGGATGTCGGCGCAAGCTTCTCTCGAAGAGTGTATTCTGGCAAGGGCCTCTTCCGGCTTGCAATGTACAGGGTTGACAGTGCCCCTTCCGCCCTTTTCCATTGGCCCGAATGCCGGCCTTGCAGTTTCGGCGTGCTTGGCTGCCTTTTCGGAGTCTGAGGAACTTCGTAACCGAGACTGCAGCAGTCGAAGAGAAGTTCATGACCGAGCCTCTGCACCAAAGGGCTCTCCCCGTATGCAGAGGTCATATTAGCTGTGCCCATCACCTTGGGACCCCTGGCAGCCAAGGAGCGGGTCTCCAGCCTCCTGGCCCAGTTCGATTGGGAGGATGCGACGATCACCAAGGACCCTCCCCTCAAGGCTTTCTGGTGGAATGCGTGGTGCGGAAGCCAGGACCGATTTCTGGCCATCATGGACAATGAGAAGGCTGCAGAGTACCTGCAAGAGGCTGGCATCGATGTGGTGGGCCACCCGTCTGCACCTGGTTCATGGATCCGGCCTCCATTCGTCCAGCAACTCACACCTGGAAGGTACTCCTATGCCAAAAGAGGGGTTCAAACGATGTGTCGAGCTTAACAGGTCTTGTGGACCTTGCCGAATACATCTTCCAGTCTGACCTTCATGGATATGAGTTCAACCGGAAACTCAGCTTCAACGACTTCATGAAGCCTCTTGGCATGCTGGGAGACTTAAGTTGCCTGCCATTTCCAGACTCTGTGTCAGAATCATCTGCACGCTGCGAAGTTTGGAGGTTGCTCCTCTCGCTGCGGGGCGGCAATGATGTGAAGCTGAAGGACATCATCGATCTCAGGAAGTACATGAACTCACACACGAACATGTCCAACAGTCACATTGCCAAGATTGATCCTTGGCTGCAATTCGCATGCCGGGATTGTCTTTCTTAAAAGCCTAGGGATCTAGATAACTCTCACCTTTCACTTCAGGAAGCCCAACTGCGGCAAATTGAGCGCAAGCTACTACCACTCAGCGGACACTATGCCTCGCGGCTGCGATGGCCATCGTGGCATTGTTGAATCTGGCAGCCTTCCAGTTGGCTGTTGCAATGAATCGTGCCTGCTAGCCATGAAGCCTGCCGTCTCGAAGTACCGACCCAGCTAAACGGAAATTCTTCATGCGTGAGGGTCTTCTTCTTTGAAAGTTGAATTGCGCCCTGTCAATCTCCTGCATCATCCCGCTGAAGCATGTTGAGTCTTTAGGAGACCTGAGGCCTCTACGCAGAAAGCAGCTTTCCGGGAAGGCAGCGGGACGAAGGCGCCCCCCCCCCCCCCCCCCCCNNCGGGCCCGGGTTCTTGGCTGTTCGCGAGGAATTCACCGACCTCCCGAGCGAGAAAGCCGCTGCCCTGCATTTACAGGACATGCCCTAAATTTTTAGGAGCTTAGGCTTAGGCCGACGTGGATCTGCATGTAAGTGAGGTGACAGACTGTCAGCGGAGTGGCAGCAATTTCACCTTCGATTCCGACACAGTGATGCTTCTTAGCTTGAAGTGGGCAGCGAAATTTGCGACTTGTGCCGAACTTGAGCTTTCGAAGATGAGTTTTGGAAGAACTATCGACCCCGTGGCGTTGCAGTTTTCGCCCCTTGCAAGTGGGGTCTTTACTTCGTGCCAATGTTCCAGCCAGGCTTCTGGAAAACGGGGCCAGCCTCAGCCCTGGCGGACCCGGCGGCTCTGCCCCTTCTCTTGCACTGACAGGGCTTCGAGAGAAGGAGCGGGGAAGAGGGGTCCATGCCGCAGCACAAAACCCTAGAATCATGGTTGTAACAATAGTAGTAATGGTAGTACTAATGATAATACGGGCAATCAACAGAATACGAATAGTGAGGTGTAATACTACAATACCATTATCATACATACCAATTTATTTTGATAACACGGTTCTTATGTTATTCTGGGAATGCAAACAGTAATGAGGTCTTCTTCCCGCAGCCCTCCTGCGAGAGCTCCGAGAGCTCCTCAGCCCTCCGCCG